TTCTGGAGATAAACTAGCCAGCAAAGCAATCCAGCTTTCCTAAATCGATTTCCCAAATCCATGCGAAGCCCTCTGCCCAAAAGACCTCACGCAGCTGGGGGCAGCAAGAAGACGCCCCGCAGGCGGCCGGCCTGCAGCCGAGCACGGCGCAGCTCGGGCCTGGAGAACCAGCGCTGCACCTGAGCGGAGGCCAGCGCCGGGCCCAGCGACACCGCCGGCTGCCGCGGCGCGCGGTGGACGGTCACCTCCACTTTGAGCGGGCTTTTCATCACGCCCCTCGGCACCTGGTTGAAGCAGGGATCCTCGGAGCCGACAGCCGTCAGGCTCCACAGGAGCCCCATGGGCTCCACGCCCGTGAAGCCGCCGCCCACAGCCGGGGCCCCGGCCAGGTCCAAGCCCCCGCGGCCGTCCGCCTCGTAGGGCGCCAGCGAATGGAAGAGGCGGCCTCGGTAGCTGACGGCCGACGCCCGCAGGCTCACCCGCTCCCTCGGGCCTAAGCCTTCCGCTTTAATGTCCCCGAGCTCGTCGGCCAGCCCAGTCTTAGGCGTGACGCTCAGGGTCGCGGACTTCTGGGAGTGAAGGGTCGATGTGCACAACCACCTCCGGGGCAGGAGGGGATCCTGGGGGTTCCGAGCACCGCCCGGGCAGCTCTCCACATGACCCCGAGATCTTCGCGGCTTTGGTTCGGACGCAAGACCGGCACCCCGGCGGCAGCAGGAGGGAGAGTCAGTGGTCCCCCGGCGCGGCGGGACGGGGCGGGGCAGCCCGGGGGGTGGGGGCGGGGCACCCCCGCGGCTCGAGCCGGGCGGCGCCTGGACCGGCGGGGCCCAGTGCGACATCCGCTTTTCCGGAGGGCAGGAGGGCCCTTGACTGGTCCCTGGGGCACCGCTCAGCAAAATGCTGCAAGAAGAGGCGACTTAGGAGGACCCGGGGTCGGTCATGCTTTTGGAGTCCTCGTCGTGGGACGGCTTAAAAGAGGCAGGAGCTCCTGCCCAGCCTACTTCTGGACGCGGCGAGGGAGAGAAGTTACTGACCTGACAGAATGCTGGCCGGTCTCTTTCTTTAAAGTCCCTCCCTGGCCACCAGGGGTCACAATTCCCTAAACCTAGCTGAAGGAGGCTACGTGTAATAATAGCCTTTGGCCAAATTCCTTCCTTGAAATTTCTTTGCCTGGGATTAAGAAAGACTGCCAAGGTTAAAGCTTAAACGTTGTAGATGAGGCAGCGCTACAGATGTATACACTATGGAAATAATCGTTGTTGTCTTGGGGCCTGGCCCAAGTATTAAAAATGTGGTTTTATATGCAGAAAAAAAAAAATACATCACGACTGTCCTTGTTTTCCAGAAAAAGCCCTGGCACTCACAAAATAAAACCATATTTTTACATTCAAACAAATATTTGCATGTACATGCATATAAAATGGTTCTGGAAGGATATACTCCAAGTTGGTAACTGTAATGAGGCCTGTGAGAAGCCTGGAACTGGGTAATAAGTTAAGAGGGTTAAATTTAATCTGTGACTGTCATGTCCAACCTCAGAATGCAAGAACAAGTCGAAAGTTCTGGAATCCAGCACCTCTGAGAATCTCAGAGTTGGAAGGCACCCAAAAGGCCATATTCCCTCTCTCTTAGGATCTTTCAAGTTGGAATCCCCACTTAAATTTTGTAGGATCCATTACTTCTCCCTCATGAAATTTAACTGTTAGGTTTTTTTTTTTAATTTTTTAAAAAAGATTTTATTTATTTTTCAGAGACAGAGACAGAGAGAGCTAGCATAAGCTGGGAGAACAGCAAGCAGAGACAAAAGCAGGCACCCTGTTGAGCAATGAGCCTGATGTGGGACCTGATCCCAGGATCTTGGGATCCTGACCTCAGCCAAAGGCAGAAGCTTAATGGACTGAGACACACAGGCGTCCCTAAATGTTGTGTTTTTAAAAAGATAAATAGATAAGTTTTTTTTTAAGATTTTATTTATTTATTTGACAGAGAGATCACAAGCAGGCAGAGAGGCAGGCAGAGAGAGAGGAGGAAGCAGGCTCCCCTAGAGAGCAGAGAGCCCGATGCGGGGCTCGATCCCAGGACTCTGAGACCATGACCCGAGCCGAAGGCAGCGGCTTAACCCACTGAGCCACCCAGGCGCCCCAATAGATAAGTTTTTAAAAGAGTTTTAAATATTTTATTTATTTACTTGACAGAGAGAGATCACAAGTAGGCAGAAAGGCAGAGAGAGAGAGAGAGAGGGAGAGAGAGGAGGAAGCAGGCTCCCTGCTGAGCAGAGAGCCCATTATGCTGCTCCATCCCAGGATCCTGGGATCATGACCTGAGCCAAAGGCAGAGGCTTTAACCCACTGAGCCACCCAGGCACCCCACGGGATACAGAACTCTTAGCAATACAGAAGCTCAGTCTTCAAAACCAGAACACAGGTCAAAGCTAGACCAGCAATTAAGAGCTGGGCAGGTACTTCTCACATTTCTCCTACTTCAGGTTAAGATTGATCCTAGGATAAGATCACGGTTAAGCCTATATGGTAGGGAAAGTTCAGGGAGAAAGGGGTGGCAGTGAAGAAAGGAGGGTTGCAAAGTCTGGGAATCCAATAGGACCTGACCAGAAGCTAAGATAATTATTTTGTTGCCAAAAGTTTCCTATGTGCTTTGCAAAACCCCATACATGTTCTATGAATTAGATTTTTATTTTAAAGATTTTATTTATTTATTTGACAGAGACACAGCGAGAGAGGGAACATAAGCAGGGGGAGCAGCAGAGGGAGAGGGAGAAGCAGGCTTCCTGTGAAGCAGGGAGCCCGATGTGGGGCTCCATCCCAGGACCCTGGGATCACGACCGGAGCCGAAGGTAGACACTTAACGACTGAGCCACCCAGGCGCCCCTATGAATTAGATTTTTATTCATAGTATCTGGTCTATGATTACTACAATGTTATATTTTGCTGGACTGGGCTGATTCTTCACCACTGAGATGTTTACGGAAGAACGTCTGAATTTGCTGCCAGGCATCTACCTGTGCCCTTGACTGAGCCTTTGGCTCACCTCCATGGACCATTGCTTTGCCTAACACTCTATGTACAGAAGCTCTGCAAGGAGGAAAGTAAGGTGGATCAATGCAATGACCAGCTCCTGGGTAGCAGATTATCTGCGATCTGTCTTTCCCATGGGCTTGTAACCGTTCAGAGGCTATCTGAGCATAGACGTGACTCTTCCAGTCTTGATCATCCATGCCAACAATGAACAGGAAGGGCCCCTGGGCCCTTTCCAGTGGAATAATACTTGGGTGATTGGGTTCTTCCAGTGGGTTGTCCCAAACATCCACAAAATGCAAATGACCCGACTCATTAATTATACATCTCCCTAGGTCACTGCCAAGACTGGGAATAATCATATCCTTGTAATGCAGAGGAGCTATTGTGTTGGCCACACAGGAACTGATAAGGACCGTGGCTGTGATCCCCTTCAAGAAAGAGGCCATTGAGAGACACAGGTCACCCCCTTTGGAGAAGCCAAGAAGCCCAACATTCGGGCCTTTCACCTGAAGAAGAGAAACAGAACAAGCCCAGAATTTGTAAGTGGAGGACATAAATGGTGATTTTTATATTCTCTAGGTAGCTTTCTTAAATGTCATTCACTTTCTTTCCTTATGCAGTAACCCACAAAGCTCAACTGTGTCTTGTAGGAAGCAAATCAATTGATTTCCTAGTACGCAGGCCTTCCACCAATATTCATGGCGACTGGGTCAAGAGTACACACGGAGACCCATACACCCCACATCTAAGTGTTTAAAAGTTATAAATCAAATCAGCAAACTCTTCGAATATATTCTTGGCTCCCACCTTCATAAATATACCTCCATAAGAGAAAATCTGAAAGCTTGCGAGTCCTTGAAGTTCTGTACTGGGATGTGGCCTGGGGGAAAGCCAGTCCAGTCCTCCATCCCTGGCCCACCTTCCTTCTTTTCCTGTCCCTAGGTCCATCATGCACCTTGAGAGGCCTTGCACACATGTATGTGGACACCCCAGCCTACATGTTTAAGGGCTAGGTGTGTTCTCACTGATAGCTCAGAGAAGAGACATAGGGCCTGGAAGCAGGATCAGTGCTATTTGGCAAAGAATTCTGGGGCTCCAGATCACAATGGCATGGGGTGTGTGTGTCTAAGGGACACGAATTCCAGGTGCATACATTGCCTGGGTCCCTTGGACTCCGCACCCTGTGGAAGGCCAGAGTGTGGCCATCTAAAACAAAAGGCCCAGGACAGAAGCCCCTCTTGCCTAGGTCTAAGGGCAGAACTGATAGCATATACTGGTGTCTTCTTCTTCCCTGGGGCCTTATCTCCTCTAATAAACCAATAATCACAGTTCAAGATCATCTAGGTTTTAGCAACTCTGCTAAGAGACCATTCCCTGGATTCTGGCAGAGTTAGAGTACCCTACAGAGCTGACAGAACATTTTATTACTTAACAGTAGAAGATTTGGGTTTACGTCTATATAGTTGAAGAGTATCTATTCCATTTACAATCATACCAAAATGTTTTGATTATTTTTTCCAGTCTCAGATAAGAACTCTCTAAAAACGTAAAACCATCATCACACTTAACAAAATTAATGATTCCTTAATATCATCAAATATACTCCCTTTTCAAATGTCCTAAAATGTCTCTTAATAGTCAAATGTTTTCCTCTGTACATTGAGAATAGCCTTATAAATGAAAAAGCTGAATCTCAGAGAAAGCAGTTGCCTTATTCAGGATTATAAGGCCGTGTGGTGGTAGACGGAGAATCAGAATTTAAGGTTACTAACATTTTAGTAGAGCCCTTTGAATGATGGTCAAGAATTAAAGGGAACTAAACAGTTGAGTCTTAAGAGATTGGAGAAAGATGGGTAGAAATGAAAAGAATAATCCTAGTAACTTTTGAAGGAACTTTGGCGTCTCACAACATCTTTCTGTGCCCCTGTGTCCTGGTACAGTTTTTGAATCCAGTCCTGTGTCTGCTCTACTCCCTCTCCTCTGCATCCAGGCAAACAGCAGAACCCACCTGTGGATGCTGCAGCATGAAGTTCACAGCTTCTTCAAAGTACTCCAGGTGCATAACATCCAAATGCTCAGGGAGGTCTTCAAATCTGAAGTAAGCCAAAGCAAGCACAGCGAAACCATGTCCAGCCAGGAGGCTGGCCCTATATTCACAAAGGCCACCACCACTTCCAAACAGATCGATGATCCCAGGGAAGGGTCCTGCACCTAGAAAGCACCACAAATCATAAGGAGCGCCCTCTGCCCTTCCCTGCTGCTTGTGTGTACTCTCTCTCTCTCTCAAATAAATAAATAAAATCTTAAAAAAAAAAAAAAAAGAATCACTGACAGACTGTTCATGATGGGAGAAGGTGGTCATCCGTTTGTTTTTTTAGGATTAGGGAGCACTGCCTCTACCTGTGGCGTTTAGCTTCCTTGGAAATTTGATGTGGAAAGAGGCAAAGATCACTCTTGCACAGCGGCATAAATCATTACCTAATACTGGTATCTGAAACACAGCCGCCTGGCTGGCACTTGAAATAAATGCCCTTTCTGAGTATGTTGAATGCACATTTTAGCGTACAGCTAAGGAGTGGTGGTGACTCTAGGAAGTGTCATGAAACTTAAAGAGAAAAACAAACTTCTATCCAGAATCCATGATAGACTCTGAAGTGTGGGGACGAGTTTAGGAAAATTCCCCAATCATGTGGTTCCCCATGTCAACCAAGAGGCCGCCCAGGGCCCCGGGACTTCCCCACCCCGCTTCTCCAGAACAGCCTGGGACCCCGGGCGCTCACCTGGAGGCAGGAAGAGCGTGGCGCGCACCCGGCCCGCGCGCACCGGCTCCCGCCGCACGCCCGGCCGCAGGAAGTCGCGCTCGTGCACCGTCCGGCCCAGCACACGACTCGCGTCGGGCTCGTGGCCGTCGAGCACCTCCAGCTCCACGGCGAAGGGCGTCTGCACGTCCTGTTTCACGAGCCGCACCAGGGGCTTCTCGGGCTCCAGGGCCCAGAACAGCCCCATGGGCTCGAGCCCCACGAAGCTGCCGCCCAGCGCGGGCGCGCGCTCCAGGTCCAGGAGGCCGCCGGCGTCGGCTTCGTACCGCGCGTGGGCCCGAAAGAGCGCGCCCTTCTCGTCGCGCAGGGACGCGCGCAGCGTGACGGGCTGTCGCGGGGCTAGGCCGCGCACGGCGATGCGCACGGGCTCGTCCCAGCTGCAGCGGCCCGCGGGCTCCAGGATCCAGGTCGCAGCCATTCTGATTCCTGCTGAACTGAGGATTGCAGGCTTCCCAGTCACGTGTCCATCCAGGCGTCTCTCCACCTCCCTGGGAAGCAATTGCAGTTGGAACCTTTGCGCGTCGCATGTTGGATGCACGTGGGACACTCTCAGCCGCTGTGTGAGGTCTCCTAGTGTTTGTGCAAATCCAGTAGTGTCTGGTCGGAAGAAAGTAGCTGCTAAATTAAGAGTTCATTATTGATTCTGCAGTATGGTGTAGTAAGTGTGGAATAGAGATACAAAGAAGGCTGAAATGGGGAAAGACTATGGCAGCTCCAAGAATCTGGAGTTGTAGAAAGCATCCCAGGTGATTGTAATTCAGATAGCAGTGGAGAAACAGCCTAATCCTTCCTTTGCCTCAGCTCAGTCCTTTACAGAGCCTTTCCCCCAGAGTCAAGGGTACCAAGGGTGCTTCCAGAGCAGGTAGATGTTGATGGAGTGAGATTTACCTGAATTCCAGTCTGATCCTGCTCCTTAATATCCTGGTGATCCTTACTTAGCAAGATATGTAATTAAGTCCCTGAATTCAGCCTCTTTGTCTGTAAAAGGCATATTGGGATGAATATGTGGGCTACCCTATGTAGAAACACTGCACGGATCAAACTGTATATAGCAAGTGCTCGGTAAGAGTTTTGCTTTTCTTGAGATCTGTTTATTTAGAGAGATCGTGCGTGCATAAGCAGGGGAAGTGGCAGGCAGAGGGAGAGGGAGTAGCATGCTTCTTGGGGAGCAGGGAGCCTGATGCGAGGCTTGAACCCAGAACTTTGGGATCAGGACCCCACCTGAAGGCAGACCCTTAACTGACTGAGTCACCCATGTGCCCCTGGAGTTTTACTGTTTAATTCACAGATCTGGTCACTGACAGTCTCCGTGTTGAGTTGTGTCAGGGTTCTGGCAGGAAACAAGTGGCACTTCCCAACTGTGTAATTTGTGGAGAGTTTCATAAGAGGACTATTTCCAGAGTCATCGGGGGCAAGATTAAAACACAAACAAGGTTGGGTGCAGAACCTTGGGTGCAGAAGGCTCAAGGGCAGAGGGTTGCCTGGCAGGATGGCGTAGCCAGAGTGGTGGGAGGAAGGCAATCCAAGGTGAATTAGGAGGAGTGGGGAGAGAATAAATACCTTGACCTCACTCTTCTCTCGCCCTTTACCTTTTTGTTTTTGTTTTTTTTTAAGATTTTACTTATTTATTTGACAGACAGAGATCACAAGTAGGCAGAAAGACAGGGGACAGGGAAGCAGGCTCCCTGCTGAGCAGAGAGCCCGACCCGATGCGAGGCTTGATCCCAGGACCCTGGGATCATGACCGGAGCTGAAACAGAGGCTTTAACCCACTGAGCCACCCAGGCGCCCCTCGCCCTTCACATTTTTGCCAGTGCCTTTCATTAGCTAAACCCAACCATTCAGCTCAGCCTACTGGTTGGAGCGCACAGAAGATGCCCAGCGAGTGGAAGCTCAACACTTAGTTATAAACTGAACAAAAAGAAGCCAGACTAGGTCCCAGATCTCAGAGTTCAGTGAGTTTCGACCTCTCTACCCCTGAAGTAACTGCTGTGGAGTATTTTAAATATGGGTTGTTTAAAGTGTCACAGGCTGGGGCCCCTGGGTGGCTCAGTTGGTTAAACATCTACCTTCGTCTTGTGTCATGATCCTGGTGCTGGGATCAAGCCCCGGGTTGGTCTCTCTGCTCAGCAGGGTGTTTGCTTCTCCCTCTCCCTCTTGGTGTTCTTTCTCTCTCAAGTAAGTAAATAAATAAATAAAATATTTTTTAAAAAATAAAAAATACAGTGCTGCTGGCTGTGCTCAATCCAGGAACACTCAGCCTGCAAAGAATTTACCTGGCCTGCTGCAGCCACCGGCACAACTGACATCGGCTCTCAGGGCCGCCTGGGTGGCTTAGTAGGTTAAGTGTCTGGCTATTGATTTTGGCCAGGTCGTAATCTTAGGGTTATGAGATTGATCCCCACATCAGGCTCCATGCCGGGTGTGGAGCCTGCTTGAGATTCTCCCTCTCCCTCTGCCACCCACCCAAAGAGAAAGAGAGAGAGAAGGAAAAGAAAGAATTTTTTTTTTAAGATTTTATGTATTTGAGAGACAGAAGGGGAACACAAGCAGGGGGAGTGGGAGAGGGAGAAGCAGGCTTCCTGCTGAGCAGGGATCCCGATGGATCATGACCTGCACCGAAGGCAGATGCCTAAGGACTGAGTCAGCCAGGGCCCCCAAGAGAAAGAAATTTAAAAAATGAAATCTGCACTTAGGTTTCAGAAAGGCAAAGAAAAAGGTGACTTCTACCTCTCCCTTCCCTGTTACCTAGGTTGCTGTGAAGAGGCACAGAAATGGCTCCCAGGCACATGAGGGAAAAGCAGCAAAGAAGGAGGTCTGAGGGTCCTGGGATCATCCCCCACGGTGGGCTCCCTGCAGTGGGGAAGCCTGCTCTTCTCTCTCCCCCTGCTTGAGCATGCTCTTTATGTCTCTGTCAAATGGATGAATAAAATCTTTAAAAAAAAAAAAAAAAAAAAGGAGGAGGCCTGGGCTAGGCCATTCAAAATGCCTTCCTGTAGGGAATTCTGCACTTAGGAACTCCATGGAAGAAATAAGTACTTTACAGGTCAGCTGACAGGGTGGGTTATCCATAATCTGAAAAAGAGTTGGCTGCTGTAAGAAAGGGGGGTGGTTTCCTACAAATTCTAATATTTGCCTAGTGATTTGTTGAAGTAGCTGTAGCTTAATACCGGAAATGTGTCTTTTACCTCCAATATTAAACATAAAAATTAATTTTTGTGCCCCTATTTTAGGGGTAGGAACTTTATGGATAGTCTTTGCCTGATGTAGGGTAGAATCTCTCAGGTTACCCCCCACATAATTACACTCCCAGAAAGGTTTCCGTCTGAGCTGGCCCCGGACCTCTTCCATGTGTAATAGCCCACTGACTTTTTGTTATTAACTCAGTAGGGAAAGGCTAAACTTCAGAAATTTTTCTTCATTATCACCTACCAGCATGCCATCAATATGAGCAATTTCACGGGGCGCCTGGGTGGCTCAGTGGGTTAAGCCTCTGCTTTTGGCTCAGTTCATGATCCCAGTGTCCTGGGATCGAGCCCTGCATCGGGCTCTCTGCTCAGCGGGGAGCCTGCTTCCTCCTCTCTCTCTGCCTGCCTCTCTGCCTACTTGTGATCTCCGTCTGTCAAATAAATAAATAAAATCTTAAAAAAATATATGAGTAATTTCACTATCCCAGTTAGGCTTAGGACACCTGTTTAAATATCACCTTAACAGATTATGTCAAATGTTAGAGAGTTGAAATATTTTGGAGGCAAGACTGTAAAGGTAAATCACTGGCCACCAAGTGACCGCAAGCTGTTGTTGATGTCTAAAATGTAAAAAAAAAAGAAAAAACAACAACAACAACAATGAAAAAACTGGGATTAAAAGACAACGCCCCAGGGGCATCTGGGTAGATCAGTAGGTTAAGCGTCTGCCTTCAACTCAGGGTATGATCCCAGTGTCGTCATGGGAGCAGCCTACATCCCATCAGGCTCCTTGCTCAGCACGGTTCCTGCTTCTTCCTCTCCCTCTGCTTGCCCTTCCCCTTGCTTGTGCTCTCTCTCTCACCATCTCTCTCTCTCTCCCCCACCCCCCACCCTCTGTCAAATAAATAAATAAAATCTTTAAAAAAAAATGAAAACAATGCCCTATCAAGGTCAGTAAAAGGATAACAATCAAGGATGATTTTTTTAAAAGATTTTATTTATTTATTTGACAGAGAGATAAAGCGAGACAGGGAACACAAGCAGGGGAGTGGGAGACGGAGAAGCATCCCCAGGTCCCCAGGATCACGACCTGAGCCGAAGGCAGACATCCAACTACTGAGCCACCCCAGCGCCCCAGGGATGATTTTTTTTTTAAAGATTTGATTTATTTAGGGGCTCCTGGGTGGCTCAGTGGGTTAAGCCGCTGCCTTCAGCTCGGGTCATGATCCCAGGGTCCTGGGATCGAGCCCCGCATCGGGCTTTCTGCTCGGCAGGGAACCTGCTTCCCCCTCTCTCTCTCTGCCTGCCTCTCTGCCTACTTGTGATCTCTGTCTGTCAAATAAATAAATAAAATCTTTTAAAAAAATCAT